CCGTTTGGATCTGTGATTGTGTCGCGAATCGATATAGGGGGGAAATCAGAATCACGTAGGTGAGCTCAAGAGGCTTCAAACAAACATGGAAATATAAATGTACAATTACAGCTTAACAAGACACTCAAGTCATTCATAACCAGTAAACATTCATGTCCTTAGGACTGAAGTTTAACAACCCTTACTTCATAACGATACGGGAAGTACCCATTAACTCCATGCCTTAACGTATGATTGTTGCGTGGAGCGAATACCTATAGCGTGTCTTCTCTCGAGGTGTAGTGTACCTCTACGCACCGTGCTGAATGAATATGCAAGAATGGATGACAATGTCGTACAATAACACGATTTCAATGTCCATGCAATGTTGGATGACAATGCAACACCATACCACAACGGATTCACCATGTCGCGCAACCCGCAGGCTTGAACGCTGCATCGTCGCACAGTCTAACCATGGCTGTCGATAACGCATCTACGCTTGTGCGTTGGGCCTGTGCTTCATACGACTCCTTCTAAGCACCTTGTTTGATGTCTGTGCAAGAATGGATGCCAATGCAACACCATACCACAACGGATTCACCATGTCGCGCAACCCGCAGGCCTGAACGCTGCATCGTCGCACAGTCTAACCATGGCTGTCGATAACGCATCTACGCTTGTGCGTTGGGCCTGTGCTTCATACAACTCCTTCTAAGCACCTTGTTTAATGTCTGTGCAATAATGGATGCCAATGCAACACCATACCACAACGGATTCACCATGTCGTGCAACCCGCAGGCCTGAACGCTGCATCGTCGCACAGTCTAACCATGGCTGTCAATAACGCATCTACGCTTGTGCGTTAAGCCTGTGCTTCATACAACTCCTTCTAAGTACCTTGTTTGATGTCTGTGCAAGAATGGATGCCAATGCAACACCATACCACAACGGATTCACCATGTCGCGCAACCCGCAGGCCTGAACGCTGCATCGTCGCACAGTCTAACCATGGCTGTCGATAACGCATCTACGCTTGTGCGTTGGGCCTGTGCTTCATACAACTCCTTCTAAGGACCTTGTTTGATGTCTGTGCAAGAATGGATGCCAATGCAACACCATACCACAACGGATTCACCATGTCGCGCAACCCGCAGGCCTGAACGCTGCATCGTCGCACAGTCTAACCATGGCTGTCGATAACGTATCTACGCTTGTGCGTTTGGCCTGTGCTTCATACAACTCCTTCTAAGCACCTTTTTGTATGTCTGTGCAATAATGGATGCCAATGCAACACCATACCACAACGGATTCACCATGTCGCGCAACCCGCAGGCCTGAACGCTGCATCGTCGCACAGTCTAACCATGGCTGTCGATAACGCATCTACGCTTGTGCATTTAGGGCCTGTGCTTCATACCACTCCTTCCAAGCACCTTGTTTAATGTCTGTGCAAGAATGGATGACATTCCAATACCATACCACAACGGATTCACGTTTGTTACTATTGATAATCGTGTTAGGATGTCGTCCGCTGGCCCCAAACCATTGTGGCAAAGCCTAAAAGTGCACAGTACATCTGTCACAAGTAATAATTCTGGAAGGTCGTTGTGTGTGTGACGTAAGAATCACCGATTAACTTACCCCAACCCCGTGGTAAACCATTTGCAACTTAGAGTTTGATGAAATGCATTGTTGTATGTTTGAATAAAGTTTAGTGATTTATGCGTTGGCAACCGTGATTGGCCAACGCATCTCAAACGATTCCCCCCGCAACACAGTCATCAGCCAAGAGGTACTTCAGCCATTGAGCGGCTGAGATCGAGCGGTAGGTGGGTTTATGCTAGGGTGGCTACACGTACACCGTCCAATATAGCCTGATAGGGTCACATTACTCTCTCTAGTCTTGCAACCCACCCCAACCACCCTCGTGTCCCACCCACCTGCTTCCGTCACTCCCTGGACCAACACTTTGACGCTGCTCGTTGCCTTGACACACGCCTCTCCAGATCGGCCTTAGCGCGAAGCATAGTGGCTACTATGACATATTTAGTTGAAGCGGGCGGTTTTCGGAAACACATAACAGTGATAGACCGTCAATAATCCCATCGTGGGATTCAGTTGCAGAACCCTTTCGAAACCGGCTCAACCCTTCCGCGCGATTTGCAACTTTGCTCCTCCTACAATTACCATGACACGTGCAACAGGTAACCAAGCAATGGAGGAGGAACAGCTTGGCCGCCGCGCGACCAGGAGGACGTCTGAACAAATCGATAGGGAGTGTGGTGGCGGCGCTAAAAAAACTAATGTGTCCGTCACTCGTGGCATTGGGCAGAAAAAAGCGCCGGCAAATAAGGTTGTGCGCGGTCAACAGGAGGCCGGCAAGAAAGCGGAAGACAAGGGGCCTAAACCAACGCCACGCAAGCGTGTTTCTACAATGAACAAAGATGCGGATGTTGCCTCTGCTGGAACCGGGCCCGGTCCGAGTAAAGACGGCACCACTGGCGGCAACGAAGATCCGGGGCGAGGGAGCGCGAGTCTTGCACTTTCGTCGGCGGAGATGGAGGGATCGGCGACGGAGGGAAATCACGGAGGCGATCCCTGCGTCCAGCATGCCGCAACCAAGGAGTCCGAGGCGGCGGCAACGCAACACCATCTGACGCTTCTCCAGCCGATCGTGGTCGAAGTTTCTGCAGCCGTGCTGGATAAGGACAATGTGAGAGTACGTCGGCTTATGCTTGTTATTCATGCTTGCTATTATTTCCTTACGCTATTCCTAGCTTAGGATTATTTTCTGCATGCATGAATTGCTTGATTTCCTAGGTTCGTTGCTATACTATAGTTATTATAGTTATAGGCACCGAACCAGGTTACGTGCACCGAACTCAAGCTATTCGGTCGCCACCGAATTGCTTTCTACCGAGTTCGGGAAGGTTCTGTTCGGGACGCTTCGCGACCCTCAGAACAAAGACTCTGCACCGACCGGCATCAGGGGAAATCGCCGAGGCGACTGGTGGCTCCGCGAAAAAAGACTCTGCACCGACCGGGAAACTCCAGCCGGACCCCCACGAAAGTAAGAAATCGTTAAAAGTATCCTATAAAGATACTCTAACGAAAAATATCGCTTCTCGTGGTTTTCAAGCCTTTGAAAAATTCAGGGGAGAACTAGAGGCCAAGAAAAAGCCTTTAGAAGTCATTCAGGAAAGATTTGGGTACCGAATTACGCCCCGCTACGGCAGTTCCTATTGGAGGAGTTTCACGACGTACCTTACGCGGGACATTTCGGGAGCAACAAGACGTTAGCAGGGATAGCGAAGTATTACTACTGGCCCGGGATGGCAGCAGACGTGCAGCAGTTAGTCACCTCTTGCGACACGTGCCAGCGGATGAAGAGTAGCAAGCAGAAAAAAGCAGGGTTACTTCAGCCTCTACCCGTACCGGAGCGGCCATGGCAAGTCGTTAGCCTCGACTTCATCACGGGACTTCCTTCGACCTCACGAGGGCATGATGCTATACTCGTGGTGATCGACAAGTTCTCTAAAATGGGTCACTTCATCCCGACCAACGCCACCGCTACTGCTGAAGCAACTGCTCGCCTCTTCTTCGACCGCATCATCACCATCCACGGCATCCCCGCTACACTCATCTCAGACAGAGACCCCAAATTCACGAGTAAGTTCAGGAAGGAGCTCATGGGATTATTGGGGACTAAACTGGCGATGTCCTCAGCATACCACCCACAGACTGACGGACAGACAGAGCGACTCAATCAAGTGGTTGAACAGTTACTACGCACAGCTTGCAAAGACGACGTCAGCCACTGGGACACACAGTTACTGACCCTAGAGTTCGCTTACAACAACGCGTCTCATGCGGCCACAGGGAAAACTCCTTTTTTCCTGTGTTACGGACGGGAACCACTTACACCACAGCAGCCAACCACACCGGCACACGTCCAAGCCGCACATGACTTCGTCACCACCATGCAGCAGCTATGGGAGAAGAATCAGCGACGTCTCACCACGATGCAAAACTCCCAGAAGCAGTATGCCGATCGCCAGCGACAAGATCACTCAGTAGCAGTCGGAGATCAGGTGCTTCTTGACACGCGCAACTTGAACCTGTCTCACCTTCCATCCAAACTCCGGCCTCGCTTCTGCGGTCCTTTTCTCGTTGAGACACAGGTGACACCAATTACATTCCGCTTGCGCTTACCAGATGCATGGAAGCTTCACAACGCTTTCCATGTCCAGCTACTGAAGCCCTACAAGGACCCCAACCAACAGTTCCAGGGACGGCAGCTTCCGCCACCTCCTCCTGTTCTCATCCAGGATGAACCTGAATATGAAGTGGAGCGCGTTCTTTCTCATCGACGCCGCGGCGGCAAGACCCTCGAGTTCCTGATACGCTGGAAGGGTTATGACCCCACTGAGGACAGTTGGGTTGTAGAAGCTGATATGGGCAACACACGCCGTGCTCTCAAGGATTATCTTGTCAAGCAGGGTGTATCTCACGCCGCCCAGCTTTGAGGGGGGGACGTGTGAGAGTACGTCGGCTTATGCTTGTTATTCATGCTTGCTATTATTTCCTTACGCTATTCCTAGCTTAGGATTATTTTCTGCATGCATGAATTGCTTGATTTCCTAGGTTCGTTGCTATACTATAGTTATTATAGTTATAGGCACCGAACCAGGTTACGTGCACCGAACTCAAGCTATTCGGTCGCCACCGAATTGCTTTCTACCGAGTTCGGGAAGGTTCTGTTCGGGACGCTTCGCGACCCTCAGAACATTCGCGTAACACCTGGGTTACATGCCTTGTGTCGAGCCTATATATAGCCTCATCTTGTACCCAGGTGATCATTCAATTCAAACTCTCTTTTCTGAGCTCGATCCTAGATCCTCACAGACAAGGTGGGGGAGCACGAGTCGGTTGGGCTGGTCGGTGGCTCTCCACCTTCTGGTGGACGGGGGAGGCGTAGGCAGAGGAAGAGCGATGGGGAGGACGATTATGACACCGCCATGCCCGGGGACCTCATTACGCGGGCGAAGAGGCGGCAGACGACAGGTAGTGCTTACGACGCCGGAGGCGCGGCAGTTGGGACACCGCGAGGCGCCAAGGAAGCTAGTGGCAAGGCGGGTGGTCAAGCATTGCGCCAAAAGGGCCGACCCGCAGCAAGAAAAACATCTGGCGGAAGGAGAGGCAAGAAATCAGCGACGGGAACAAAGCCGAAACGGGGCGATGAAGACCCCGGTGATGCGGAGGAAGAGGGGGATGAGGAGGAGGAGGAGGAGGAGGATGAGGAGGAGGAGGAGGAGGAGGAGGAGGAGGAGGAGGAGGAGGAGGAGGAGGAGGAGGAGGAGGAGGAGGAGGAGGAGGAGCAGGGTGACGACGAGGAGGAGGATGTGGAGGAGGAGGAGGAGGAGGAGGAGGAGGAGGAGGAGGAGGAGGAGGAGGAGGAGGAGGAGGAGGAGGATGAGGAGGAGGAGGAGGAGGAGGAGGAGGAGGAGGAGGAGGAGGAGGAGGAGGAGGAGGCAGCGGAGGAGGAGGAGGAGGAGGAGGAGGAGGAGGAGGAGGAGGAGGAGGAGGAGGAGGAGGAGGAGGAGGATGTGGCGCCAGTGAAGGGACGGGGCGGGCGTGGCAGACGGGTGAGTGGTACAGGGAAGGAGGGGGGCCGGACTCGCCCTTCCCGAAAACGCGGGGCAGTTGACGCTGCGCGCGGCCAAGCATCGGGCAAACCGAAGGCGCGTAAGGTGAAGGTCGAAAGTGAAGGGGTTGGTAAAAAGCAAGGGAGCCAGGGAGCAAAAGGGGATGGAGGAGGAAAGGGTGGCCGCGCCAAAGGGGTTCCTATGTGTACCAGCAAGAAAGAACCTGCCGGTAAACGTCGCAGCGTCCGCCAAAGCACCCCGCGGAAAGGTGGCAACGAGAAGGCGCAGGCTGCCCCAAAACCGAAGGGACAGCAGAAAGGTGAGCATTGTGTCCAATAAAACTGGCGTGACGTGTTGAGCCATCTGCTAAACCGTGCCAAAAAACACCCTTTTTTCACATTGTTTCTCCCATGCAGGAAAGGAGAAGGTCGACGAATCTGCCAAGCAAGGTAAACCCTCTTGTCTCAAACCAGTACAACCCTAAACCCGATCTAGATTCAAACCTTTCTGAATATGCATGCATGTCAAGCCCCGCCTTGAAACCGATCGACTCTATTTTTTTATTCCGGCTCCCTCTACATCTCAGCCCCTCGCGTTACAGGCATTGGGCCGCCCGTAAGCGTGCAACGAATGCATCTAACGAAGGCTGCCGGAAGAGCGAGTGTTACACCGCTCTCCTCCGGAGCACCAAGGTACTACACGCCATGGGCCGGCCCGAGCAAAGTCGCTGCGACGGCACCAGGCGCGCCAAGAGGAGAGGAATCCGAATCCCCTCCACCCGCCCCCTCACGCAGTCCCCACTCGCCTCACCCTCATACCAATTTCGGCAACTCCATGCTTCTCCTGTCTGGGGCACGGCGGTCTCCCCTCTCGCTGATCCTTCGCGCGGGCATCAGGCAGGCAGTTATGCCAATCCCTTCCCTGAGCTCCCCTTTTCCCGCCAGCGTGATAGTGTGAGGGCACGTGGGACTGCTGCAGAAGACGTTGATCCCCTTGGCCAGAGGGGGGATTCTTCACACCCTTTTCCTCCGCTCATGGGTGCCCTAGGTGAAAGTGCGGAGCACGAGCAGTTTGTTACACGGGAGGAGTTCCAGGCGCTGCGGTCTGAGATGTACGCCATGTTTGCACAGCTCGGCCTGCGTCGTGGAGTAACTGCCAGCTATGCCGGCGGGTCGGCAGCCCTGCCTATGGCTGGTACCCCGCCGCCGATGAGCGCCGTGGACAAGGCACGAGTGCTAGTGTTGCAGGAGACAAACCCATTCCCGGTATGTGGCGGGCCACATGGGGAGGGTTGGGGTTGACGTGGCAACAAGGGCGGGGTTGGGGCTGACGTGGCGGTTTCGAAGGGAACAAGGGAGCGGCGCGTGACGAGGCGACGCGTATCAGGTGGGTGGGGGGTGACGTGGCATGGGGTGGGTGGGTGTGACGTGGCAAGTGGCGCGGGTTGTTGGTGGACGTGGCGGATGCGGGTTGGGTGTGACGTGGCAAAAGGTGAGGGTTGGGATATGACGTGGTGGTGTGAAATGGTGCAAGGGAGTGCCGCATGACGGCGCGAGGCGTTTCAGGTGGGTGGGGGGTGACGTGGCTCTTGGTGGGGGGTGTGACGTGGCAAGTAGGGCGGGTTGTTGGCGGATGCAACAGGGTGTGACGTGGCAGAATGTGAGGGTTGGGGCTGACGTGGCGGTTTGGAATGGTACACGGGAGCGGCGCATGACGAGGCGACGCGTATCAGGTGGGTGGGGGGTGACGTGGCATGGGGTGGGTGGGTGTGACGTGGCAAGTGGCGCGGGTTGTTGGTGGACGTGGCGGATGCGGGTTGGGTGTGACGTGGCAAAAGGTGAGGGTTGGGATATGACGTGGCGGTGTGAAAGGGTGCAAGGGAGTGCCGCATGACGGCGCGAGGCGTTTCAGGTGGGTGGGGGGTGACGTGGCTCTTGGTGGGGGGTGTGACGTGGCAAGTAGGGCAGGTTGTTGGCGGATGCAAAAGGGTGTGACGTGGCAGAATGTGAGGGTTGGGGCTGACGTGGCGGTTTGGAATGGTACACGGGAGCGGCGCGTGACGAGGCGACGCGTGTCAGGTGGGTGGGGGGTGACGTGGCATGGGGTGGGAGGGTGTGACGTGGCACGTGGGGCTGGTTGTTGGTGGACGTGGCGGATGCAGGAGGGTGTGACGTGGCACGTGGGGCTGGTTGGTGGACGTGGCGGACAAGGAGGGTGTGACGTGGCGGAAGGTGAGGGTTGGGGATGACGTGGCGGTTAGAAATGGTACACGTGACCACTGCGCATGACGAAGCGAGGCGTGTCAGGTGTGTGGGGGGTGACGTGGCTTGTGGTAGGGGGGTGTGACGTAGCAAGTGGGCCGGGTTGTTGGTGGACGTGTCGGATGGCGCAGGGTGTGACGTGGCAAGTTCAAACAGTGTTGCTAGTCACCATCCCATGGTCACACGGCCACCCTCATAACTGCTGGTTTCTCTCTTCCATGTCGTGTTGTATACCTTACACCCCTGCGCAGAACAAAGCCTACTTAGTGTGCTCTCAGCTCATGTTTCTGAACCCGGCGGAGAAAATACAGTACTACCCTGCACCGGAGGAAGTGTTCGAAGCGTTCTCTGTCCACTTGTCTGCAGAAGGGCTCGAGGCAATGAAGCTGCTGTGGTTGCACAACGACAAGTCCACCATGGGAGTCTTCAACCACCAGCTGTCCTCAACAAGGTCAACTATCAACTCCACCCTCAGGCCAGCAGCATACACCGGCATGGGCCTTGCCGATTACAGCCATCTCGTGGATAGCCTGCCCACTGAGCTACACCCAACGACCTGGTTCGACGACGATCAACTCCTAGCCGAGTACAGAGATGGTATGTGCATTGCAACTCGAAAACACAATATGCCCTACCATATGCCCCTTGGCAGCTACATATCACCGTGCGATGTGGCTCACCCTGACTCTCATCCCCCCATTTGATTTCTCTACAAAACCCTTTCCAACCCATACCCTCCCTGCCAAAAAGCAGAACAGTGGGCCCTCAACTGGCACTTTGACAAGGCCACCGGGACACCCTTCAGCAACCCCTTGTTTGCTTATGCGTTCAAGCTCTCCTTCAAGAGGGGCGGGGCGGTGTTCACCAAGTTCAAGAGCCGCATGGTGGCATGGGGCCTGTTTTCGGTAAGGATGTAGATATGTGTTTGTACCCCCATGCCTCATCCCCTTAACCCCTTGCCTGTACTTCAGCTAAAACCCTGGTCGATTAGGCCTTAGCAGTTACGTAGATAGTGACGACTGCATCACCGCTTTCAGTTGCCTCATTTACCCGTAACCTACCCTCCTCATAAACCAACCCTACACCACATTGTAGATCGAATGGACCCTTCTGCAGGATAAGCGTCGCAAGCGAAGCAGTAGTCAGCCGGAGCAGAACAGGCCAGACTACCAGGAGTGGTGCGAAAAGGTCAAACAGATGATCCATTTTGATGTCAGCAACCCCTTGTTTGCTTATGCGTTCAAGCTCTCCTTCAAGAGGGGCGGGGCGGTGTTCACCAAGTTCAAGAGCCGCATGGTGGCATGGGGCCTGTTTTCGGTAAGGATGTAGATATGTGTTTGTACCCCCATGCCTCATCCCCTTAACCCCTTGCCTGTACTTCAGCTAAAACCCTGGTCGATTAGGCCTTTGCAGTTACGTAGATAGTGACGACTGCATCACCGCTTTCAGTTGCCTCATTTACCCGTAACCTACCCTCCTCATAAACCAACCCTACACCACATTGTAGATCGAATGGACCCTTCTGCAGGATAAGCGTCGCAAGCGAAGCAGTAGTCAGCCGGAGCAGAACAGGCCAGACTACCAGGAGTGGTGCGAAAAGGTCAAACAGATGATCCATTTTGCTGTCGTGGAGCGGAGGATCCCCTACGATCCGGCTATGGGTGCGTTCGTCTTTCCGAACAAGTTCCTCATCGACGACGGCGACCTTGGAGATGTCGTCCTTGCCCACCGGGCGCTTTCAAGGCCCGCCGGTGCGTAGGCTATTTGACCTGGTGCTAAGACTGCTTGTTGCTAGAATGCTGAATAATGGTTCTTGTAAACCGCAATAATAAATGCAATTTTGAAATCCTCAATATCCAAAATGAACAAAAGCAGAATTTAGTTTTGAATAATTTGGTCACGAATTTGCAACAAAACGGATTGCGCCCGAATGTCATCCGGAAAAGCTCGCGTGCCAAATTGGAACTTGAACCGAGCCAAACCTTGTCGCGAGATGTGTCTCGGAGCTCCTATCAAATGACTCCAACCGTCGGTCCAAATTGGCTCCGGATTTTTTTACGCGGAGACAATCGAAATCAAAATTCGTCCAAACTTGGCATAGGGTTTTTGTGATGCAAAAGTTTTTCCGCCAGGAATACTACTGCGCCCCGACGGGACGGAGTTACAACACACCACCCCCCATCCAACCACTTGCACTATCTGCCCCACAGCCGCACTCTCTCATACTGCCTATCCCTCTCTGGAGCCAAGCACCAACCGCTACAAGAAATTGGAAAAGGTGTACAGCGATTTCATCGTACTCACCTGCAACGGACTCAACGGCGAAAAATACACGCTGACCTTCATCGACGCCTACTGACGCCACGTGTGGGTTGCCAATGTTGACGCCCGCTCCAAAGCCCCTGAGGTGTTCCGTGTCTTCCTCGCGCACGCGCAGCGACAGTCCGTAAGGAAACTGAAGATCTGGCAGAGCGATGGGGCAAAAGAATTTCGCAGCCATGACCTAGAGAGCGTGCTCACCGAGAAGGGGATTAAGCATGAGATTTCCCTTCCCTATGCTCACCAGCAGCAAGGCGTTGCTGAGCGGGTCAATCGGACCCTCATGACTAAAGTTCGCGCCATCATGAACCAGTCCGGCCTGCCAAAGAAATTTTGGCCGCACGCCATGAATCACGCGGTGCGCCTGCACAACCTCCTCTCCACCACCGCCAACAGGGATAACCTATCACCCCACATGAAGTGGACCGGTTCAAGGGGAGACCCCTCCATGCTGAGGGTTTGGGGGTGCATGGCGCAGTATCAGCCCACTTCGGCCACAATCGGCAAATTCTTCCATCGTGCGCGCTGGGGAGTCCATCTCGGACTCAGTCACGAACATAAAGGATGGCTCATCCTTGACATAGACAAGCAGGAAATTGTCCCTGCGCGTGACATTCTTTTCTACGAACGGCTCACCTTGACGCAGTGGATCGAGGACCAACGCCGTAACCAGGCACGCGGCTACGCCAACAGCGGCCGCAGCTTCGCGACCCCTGAAGATGAAGCAGCAGCAGCAGTTCTGGACCGCGACGACACCGTCGAACATCCCAGCATCCCCCCTCGCCCGCGCGACGACGATGACGACCCCGCGCCAGGACCATCACGCCGCCAGACAGAACCAAGCACCGCACCACCCGGCTACGAGAGCGGAGATGACGACGTATTTGAAGTCCCCATCAACGCTGACACCACCAACGTATCAGGCCTTCAACTTCTTGGTCTGCACACGTCCGTCTCTACTCTCGCACGGACCGTGGAACCTAAGAACCCTCGCCAGGCCCTAACTGGCCCTCACGCCAAGGACTGGCGCGCTGCGATGGATGCGAAACTGAAAGCACTGGAGTCGCGCGACACTTGGGTCCTAGTCGATCGTGCAGCAGTGAAGGGGAGGAGGGTGCTCAGCGGGAAATGGGTTTTCCGTCTCAAAACTAACGCTGACGGCACTATTGAGCGCTTCAAAGCACGTTGGGTCGTACGCGGGTACGACCAGCGTCACGGCATAGACTTCGATCAGACCTTCGCTCCCGTCAGTCGTCATACCTCGGTCCGGATTCTACTCGCTATTGCCGCCGCGAAGCACCTACCACTGCGACAGATCGACGTGAAGAACGCGTTTCTATACGCATTGGTGGATGCCACTATTTTTGTGGAGAAGCCGCACACCTACGGAGAAGGCGATCCCAGGGTCTGTCAACTGAAGAAGTCACTCTACGGGATCAAACAGGCGCCACGACTCTGGCAGCAGCATCTGCACAAAATCCTCCTCGAAATCGGCTTCAAACAACTCCCACACGACCCGGGAATGTATCGCCTCCACTTCAGCAGCGATTACATCCTCCTGACAGTCTACGTCGACGACCTGCTGTATACGGGGACCTGCAACAAACTCCTCAACCAGTTTCAGGAGAACCTGGCGCAGCGCGTGGACATCACCATCAACCTCGAAGTAAAGCAGTTTTTGGGGTTAAACATCACCTACGCGCCAGAAGAAATTCATCTGT